AGGTCGGGAGTTTCATTCTCCTGTATCACTAATGTTGCTAAGAAATGCAAGATATGACACACATGGTAACACACACCCATACTCCTAGCTACTCAGGGAGCTGAGGCAGGAAGATCACAAGTTCAAGGCCAACTGGAGCAATGCAGTGAGACCCTACCTCAAAATCACAAACAGGGCTGGGAATACAGCTCAGGGCCCCTGGGTTTAATCTTTAGTACTTGTAGGGAGAAAGAGGAAAGACAGGAGAAGAAAGGAGGAGAAAAGGAGAGGATCACAAGTGTTCTGAGACAGTCTGACAGCCACACCTGATTGTGGATGGCAAAGGAGCCACAGAGACAAGAAACACTGTCGTTTCAGCTGAAAGCTCAGAGAAGAACAATTAACCAGGGAGAGCTAAGGAAAGAAAAGTGAGGGGGAAGAACAGAATGGTGAGACACAGGGAAGGCTTCGGAGGAGGGCCAAGTAAATTCCTGGAAATACAGAAACTGCAAACAGCCTGAGCTCAGTGAAATTAAGCTGAAGTTCCCTTTCCAAACGTTTGGTCTTTAGCCAAAAAGTAATGGGAAGGCATTGAAGGATTTGAAGCAGAGATAAGGTTCAATTTGCTTTTTTACAAATTATCGCTGGTTACTAACTGAGGAATGGCAAGAGAGGGGAAGCGGGAGGGAGGCAGAGACTAAGACCAGGGACAAGGCCACTGCAGTTGTGGAGGTGAGAGAGAGCTGGGCGATGCTCAGTAGAGAGCAGGTGGCTGCTGGATACTTGGATTCTCCGTCCTAAGACATCAGAACAACAGGGCAGTCAGAGAGACTCACAAGTGTCTCGGGTAGGGAGCTTCCAGACAAGCTCCTTGAATAATCCTTGAGGGATTAATCCTTGAGCCCCTTGAATTCATCCTAGGAAAATCAGCAACTTGGATGAGCTTTGTTGGCAAGGATGTACATAGTGCTATAAACTTAAAACTTGTGAACAATCTAACACAATAGAATTCTAAAGTAAGTGATGATGCTGCCAAACAAAGGAACATAAGTAGCATTTAAATTACATTTCATGTCAAGACAGTGGTTCAGAGTATGCTAAGTAAAAAGAAGCAGGCTATAAAAATTAATACAAGAAAGGCTACATGGGTATACATCAAAGTATAACTAGGGGTTATCTCTGGTTAGTTGAAATGGTGTTTTTAAACTTATGCATGTCTTTCCATGTTTTCAAGTTTTTTTGTACTCTAATATTTGCTGAGTACTTATTATGCAGTAGACACTATACTATGCTATGCATATCAAATACTTTACTTTTGAAAATATTTCTAATATATAGAAAAGCTGACTGACTTGCCCAAACTTACACAGTAAGCCAATATTTAAACTCATGCAGGCTGATTCCAGTATCTCTCATATACCATTATCCTATACTCACTGGAGAAGTTTTACTTTATACTCATTGAAATAATTTCTGTTGTTGGGGCTGGGGATTTAGCTCAGTGGCATAAGCACCTGCCTTCAAGCAGGTGGGCGTGAGTTCGATCCCTGGGGTACTGATTTAAAAAAAAAAAAAAAACAAACCAGAGACAGCGAGAATAATTTCTGTTGTTTCTTTTCCTTACTCTTTTTTTTTTTTTTTTTGAGACAAGGTTTTCTATGTAGTTCAGGATGGCCTTGAAATCGCTATGTAGCCCTCACTGGCCTCCACCTTGAAAAGATCCTCCTTTCTGAACATCCCAAGTGCAGCCTTTATTGGTATGTACTACCTTGCAGAGCAATAATTTTTAAAAAGAACAAATTACCAAAATAATCCACACAGTAGGAGAAAATAGTTGCAATTCATGTATCTGATAATGGTTTACAATCTATACTATATACAGAATTCCTACAATGCAACATTAAAAAGACAAAAACTCCAATTAGCAAATGAGCAAAAGATCTAAACGGTCATTTCTATTGACCAAAGCACCCATGAAAAAATGACCAATATTATTAGTCATTAAGGAAATGCAAATCAGAACTGAACTGAAGAGCACATCAACTGTTACAGTTCTAATAACGTAGTAAGTGTTGGAAGAATGTGGGAAAACCAGAGCTTTCTCACACTGTAATAATGTAAAATGGTGCAGCTATTTTAAAAAACAGTTCGGCAGCTTCTCAAAATGTTAAAAATACACTTCTCGTCTTATGGTTTAGATCTATACCCCTGGAAGTCTTAAATGTGTTCAGAGATGGGATTTCTGGAAGATGATTGCAGCATGGGGGTACTGCACTCATCAGTGCGTTAGCCCATTAGTGAGTTCACAGCGGAACTCATCAATGTCCATGCTGTTAAAGAGAGCCTTGGTGGAAGAGGTATCACCAGGGGAGAACCTCTGAAGCTATCTCTCTTCTCTGACCCTTCTTGTTTCCCTGCATCCTGGTTGCCACAGGTTGAGCTGTTTTCTTCTGGCAGGCCCTTGCATCATGCTGTTTCTCCTTGAAACCAGCTGACACAAATTGAACCCTCTAAAACCACAAGCCAAAGATATCTTTTCTGTAAGTCTCAAGTGTCTGGTATTTTGTCCCAGTGACAGGAAGGTGATCAATATACCTTATGACTTAGCAATTCTTCTCCTAGATATATGCTCTAGGAAAAGAGCAGTAATAACTGTTTGTCAACTGATGACTGGATAAACAAAATGTATATGTCTCTATAATAGAATAATACTATTTGACCATCAAGAGAAATGAAATATTAATACATACAGGTTGTATATCCCTTATCTGAAATGCTTGTGGCTATACGTATTAATAATTTGGGATTTGGGAATATTTGAAAACACATAATGAAATATCCTGGGAAGGGGACCCAAATCTAAATATGAAATTCATTTATGTATCATTATACCTTATTCACATAGGCTACAGGTAATAGACAATATTTTTTTTTAGTACACCTGCATTTTGACTACTCCCCATGTGAGGTCAGGTGTAGAATTTTAAACCTGCAACATCATGTCACTACTCAAAAAATTCAGACTTTGGAGAATCCAGGATTTCAGATTTCCTAGGGATGTTCAATTTGTACTGCTACACTGTGAACCTTGAAAACATGCTAAGTGACAGAAACTATACCCAAAAAGTCAAAAATTGTATGATTATATTTTTAAATTATACTTAGATATGCCCTAAGTGGATAAATTTAGAGACAGAAAGAGACTAAGGCTATAGGAAGGATAATGGGAAAGTGACTGAACCAAAGTCACTGAGCATACCTTGCTCACGGGCTAATGAAAATGTTCTATCACTAGACTCTATGTGATACTGGTACAGCATTGTGAAAATACTAATAGCCGCCCAAGTATATACTTTTAAATGGTTAACTAAAATGAAATTTGTTATATGAATTTTATGTAAATTATTAAAAAGACCAAATTATTTTTTCTAACAAGAGTAGTTTCTCAAAATAGCAGAGTTTTTAACTTTGTCTTTCATGATTAAGTATTAACTTGAAAATGTCGAATTACTGTGTCTTCTGTTAAACGAAGAGAAAAACGTATTCTAGGAAAGTGGTAAGCAAATTAATACACTGAACACAAGCAAATCACTCAGAACAGGCCCACAACAACAGCTCTCAAACAACATTAGCTACTAATACTAGTGTTGTACATGGAGTCTTGCAGGACACAAAAACTCTACAATTTCTATTTGTCTCCGAATTAGTTTCTAACAAGCACTTCAATGAGCAGCAGATTTAGTTCACTAAAATCAAGAAGAAAAAAGTATAATCTGATTTTTACGTCATTACAGAAGGTCTAGCGTTCAATTTTGAAAAACAAAAATTGGTCTGTGATAGGAATGAGAGTTTCAGGTATAGTTACCCTGCTGGATTGGTCACAGGAATCTAAAACTAACTCCATGAGGCATGCATCACAGTCAATGTGAGCAAAGAAGCTAGAAGGGAAGCTGGGGGATTTTCTAGTTCCTCCTGAGCTATTAATAGATATTAATAAATCACCTCACCACGAAGCTTAAACTCTTGAGTTTCTGGACTACTAATCTTACCCACACTGAAACACACTTTCAGCACCAGACAAGAGCTATCAATTCCATTTGATTAGACACAATATTGTTTCTTCCCTTGTGTCAACACTACATTTTAGAGTTAATGGTAGTCACTTGGTCTAACAATAAGGTAAAGATTAGCACACATGGGTGAAAAGAGAGCAGACAAAAATGAATGAATTTAAGAGAATAAAAACCAGCCAGGCATGGTGGTATAGTGCCAAAGGCAGGATGGCGGCTTGAGTGGACAGGAAAAAAGGAAAAACAGAGCACTGAGGGGTACCAGTTCCACAGTATAGTGCTTGCCTAGCACGTGCAAGATCCTGGCTTTGAACCCTAGAAACAACAGCAAAAAAAGGCTGCTTTATCTACATTTCATGCTTGTTTAATGCAATTTGGCTCAGGCAGCTGAAAAAGCAAAGGATACAATGACAACCCATGCTGAGCACTATAGCATACAGCTACCAATAAAGGACAGGGGGACGTGGTTCTCTATCACTCCTAAGTGGGGGGACTATAAGCTTGTATCATTGGTTACCGGTATTGTGTTGTTACACTGTAGAGTTGTAGTATTGGGCAGTACTATTCTTTTCAGTCATATGGAAACATAAATAATAGTGTATTACCAAATTTTATTAAAGGTCTACCACATTCAGTGAGCCCCAGTGTAGCACTGTGTGAGCGTATGTATATATGTGTGTGTGTATGTATATATATATATATATCATACAAAAATATATAAGGGTTTAAACTATAGGCTGTTGAGTCTAAAACACACACACACACACAAACACACACACACACAACCTCTTAGGCTAAAACCTTTTCCCAAATATTGCAGGGAAATTTTCTTTTCCGTACAATGAAAGATTCAAAGGAAGATTAGAAGAAAGTATCTCTCAAGACAGGAAAGCCCGGCTGGCAGTGGGCAGTCACGGCACAGCAGCGTCACCGCGGTAGCCTCCAGCCCACCTGTGTCTGCGCTCTTCACTCCCATTCTGAAGCGGATCCGCTTGTGCTGAAGGACCTCAGAAAGGTGCTCAGCAGTCCAGTGTCGCGAGGGCCAGTCTGAAACCATGTTATGGAAGACTGCAGGTTGCTGTAAAGACATTATAATGTCTTTTGCTTTCTCTGGCGTAAAAGGTTTCACATATTCACCTGGAGAGAGATGAATCGAGTGATAGGGTTAGTTAGTGATAGGGATAAAGTTATTTCACATCAAACATAAAGAAAAACAGCTAATATTGTTTCTCTCCTGGCAAATCCTTTTTTTTTGTACTGGGAATCAAATCTGGCACTTGCCAGGCAGGTGCTTATACAGCCTCAGCCCCACGGCAAATCTTTTTATGCAAATTCACTGCATGTACACTTTACTGATCACCAGTTATAAAAATATTTAACTTCACAGGTTCATAATTCATTTTTAATTTTTAATGTTTATTTATTTTTCAAATCTACTGTATTTTAAAGAGAAAAAATAAAACAAGATTTCAAAGCAATAATTAGGGAATAACAACGGTATATACATTACATACTGTTAGCTTCAAATCAGTTATTCAGAGTACAAGATATCTGCATTTAGTTGTCTGAACAACACCAGCACAAACCTTTCAAAGGTTCATAATTTTTTTTTTTTTTTTTTTGGTCTTTTTCCTTTTTATCAGTACCAGGGATCGAAATCCGACTGACTGCTTGCAAGGCAGGCGCTTACGCCGCTGAGCTAAATCCCCAGCCCAGGTTCATAATTTTTAAAATTTGAAACATTTGAATGGCAGTATCTATGTATCATTTTCAATGTCAGAAACGAAACTTTAATGTTAAAAACAGCTTTCCTGTTACTTTAAATTTACAATGTAAAATTTTATAAACTATTATTTCTTAAATAGAGGATTATGAAAAAATACTGAACAGAACTACTTTGAAACAACCAAAATTGTTGGAGTCAGCAACAATTTTATTTGCAATATCATGTTTAATGCCAAAACAAAAACAACCAACCACACACCCCCCAAAAAAACTTCATTAATGTGGCAGTCAATCTGGAAGAGGAGAGAATATTTCTTATTGCTGTTTTAAGAATAAAAGATGTGCTAAGATGGTAATCAGTATTAATCTTGGTTTCAATGCATCCATAACAGTTTAGGAGACATGTATATTCTCCAAGGTATATATTTGGAGATATAGGTATCTCCAAACTGTGACTTAAAGGTTCTTATTTATTTATTTGGTACTGGAGATCAAACTCAAGACCTCGCACTTGCCAGGGAACACTTATGCCGCTGAGATAAATCCCTGGCCCAAGTTCTTATTTTTTAAGTAAAATAAGAAAGTTTCTATTTTCTTCCTCCTCCTCCCCCTCCTATTTCCTCGTCTCCTCTACCCTCACCCTTTTTCTGTCCTAGAGATCAAATCAAGGATCTAGTATACAGTAACCATTCTACCACTAAGTTACACCCTCAGCAAGAAAGTTTTTCTTTAAAGAGATCTTAAAATGGAAAGGGTAAGGGAATAGAGGGGAAAAAAATCAGGTATCATGTACAGGTACAAATTCCCTATGATGAATGTGATCATTATGTAAAATGTACCAATAAACTTAATTAATAAAAAAGGAAAATCTGGGAGAAGGATTAACAGCTTCATACTCTAATCTGTGAAACATGCTTATGATTCTCAAAAAAAATCTGTTGCCTCTCTATTTTGGTTATTTAATCAGCAAATACACCCAATCAAAAATTAAAATCTTATAAATAAAACACAAATTCCTCCCTTACCCAATCTTCTTCTAAACTGATAAAAGGAACAGGAGAAGGGCTTATCAGAGAAGTTGAGTAATTTATGTTTGTTTCAATGTAAAGCATGTTACTGAAGAAAATGAAAATTTAAATCAGGTTGAGGAAAAAAATGTCAGAGTGGTGAGCAACAACTCAGACTATGAGATTGGGAGTCCACACGATGAAAACAACTTGGGGAAGAAAAGGATTAGGAGAGACCCGACAGGAAAATCCAAAGCTGCACAGAAACTGAAGGGACAGAACAGAACACTACAAGGGAACAGAATCTACATACACCCCCTCCCCAGCCTCAGCTTGAGGGTGGACTGCGGCAAAGGAGAGGTCACACCTACAGAGACAGAGCGAATGCTGGAGAATCTGGGGGGCCTTGGAGAGAAACGCAGCAGCTGAATGGCCCAGCAGTTGCTGTGTTCTGCTGCACTGTGCAGGATTCTGCTCTCCTGCGAATCTTCAACAAATAGGTGATGAATGACTAGAGGATAAGGGCCCACTGTGTTCCTGGAAAGAGTACTTCTGATTGGAAACCACCCCAGGGGAGAAGTGACTGTAGACTGTGTGAACCAGAATCAGGGAAGCTAGCTACATGGTTTCACTTCAGGGCTCCAGAGTTAGTTCTCACAGTGATTAGGTAAGAGACAGCCAAACAGTCAAGGGAGTGGGTTGGAAAGAGACACTTTCTGATGGGTTTCAGCTAAAGGACACAGGCTCCCCTCCCATGGCCAGAGGCGAGGCCCAGCCTGAGTTGCTCTGGATTTGGAAGTCATTGGCACTCTCTCCCTAATCCTAATGCATGGTGGCACTTGCATCCAGCAGTCTTTGTTACCTAGCAATGTAAACAGCGATATGTCTGGACTTGCACAATGTACAATTGCAGATCATGGAAGAAAACAATGTATTCGAAACAGAGAGAAATTCTTTTTCTTTTTTTAATGTGTAGTTTTTCTTTTTCTTATCTTTTTTCTTTCTTCTTTAACACAAGTTTATTGGGTTTAATGAATTTTCCCTTGTTTCTTTTTTTGATAGCTCTCTTTATGTTTCTCTTCTCTCGTTTCATTTTTCTCCTTGCAAGTATTTCTCTTCTATTCTCCATTTTTTTCTCCCTTATTTTATCTTTTATTTCTTCTCAGATTTTGTTACCTTTATCTATTCCAATAAATACCCTTCTTTGCCCCAAGAGAATCTCTTGCCCCTCTCCTCTCCCTCCTATCATATATTTTTAAGTTTTCAATTTTTCTTCTTCTATGCCCCTATTTTCAATCCCTTATATCTTTAATAGTATCATACAGACTTATTGGTGTGTAGATAACTGACTCAATAAAAATTACTGTTGAATACTTTTCTACCATTAGCAGATGTATATACAGCATTCATATTTAGTACATATTGGGTGTGGATCAATACTTGATATTTATACTATAATTATGGATTTCTTCTCTAGGGTTAAGGGTGGTACATAATTGGTTCTTAGTGTATGCTAATATTCCATTTGTCTTGGATGATACTACTGTAGCTAATTTGCCTGATGTTATAAGGGTTGCATAACTATTGCTAGTAATGGGTTTTTCTGTTAGTCAACAGCTAAATTACCTTTGTGACATTACCAATACTAGGTACATTCCCAAAGAGCTTGGTGTTGGGTCAGTTATACTGCATCCTCCCTCTCAAGTCAACCAAGGTGGTCAAATCTGGTGGACAGGGCAATGGACTATCATTAACCACACCCAAAATACCTCACCATAAAGAGATCTATGTACTAGCACAAAAGCCTTTACACTCTACATGTCCACAAACCTCAGTACAAAACAAAACAACAAACAAAAACGATAAACATGAGAAAAGGCGGCCATAAAATACCTCCTCAAACTTCCAACTCCCTCAAAGCCAATCCAGTTGGCATTAGGTGGGAGAACCATAAGCCACACACCCAGTTACTACAAAGGATAACAGCAGAGGTTAGAAACAGATGAAGAGGTGTGCAGTGGGATCACACAGTATATAACTAAACAGATAATGGAAGTAATAACCAAAATGATCCAAGAACCTTCAGAGAATGCTAATAAAAAGCTAGCTGAGGTGGGGGAGATAGCAGAGAGGTAAGCTGCAAAGAAGGAGCCTTTGAAAGTCACAGTCCAGACGCTGGAATACAGCAAAGTGAGGAAGACAAGAAGGAGGAAAACGGGTTCCCTGGACTCAGAAAGGATCTGAAGTGCAAACTGAAGCCCACAGAGTAAAAAAGAAACTTCGACGAAGAAGGAGGTATCCAGTGGCGCCCTCTCCCTGAGACGGGACTCACTGTGAAAGAAGAGCAATTCAAACCCACATACAAATAGTAACGCTGGCAATCCGAGTCCTCCACGGAGAGACACAGCAGTGGAGGGGAGAAGTGAATGTAAGGGCTGCACTAGCTGGGGGTGAGTGTGGAGGGCTCAGTGGTCCTACAGGAGAGAGGAGACGCCAGGAGCCATCTAGGAGAAGGGCTGGCTGAACTCAGAGAAGCGGGCTCCTCCATCTAGCAGCTCCAAACTGGGCTCAGGCCCATGCAAGGTATGCTGACAGCTACAGGCCAAATGAGCCTGGTCTTGGCCAGAAGGCAGGCGCAGGTTTGCTGAGATTATCCACTACCCTGCCAAAAACCTACTGCTGGCTTGCTGGAATAAATCAACGTGAATTGTGGGACTCTGTCCCCACATGTTGTCTACTAGTGACAACAGAGACAAACCTGCAAGGGGATTTTTTTTCCTCTCTTGTGTTTGCTTTTGTTGTTGTTCTTACAGGCTTGTTCTCGCTTTCTTCACTGTTTGATCTTCTTTTTATTACAAGTATGAACATGGTTTCTAGTCACTTTCTGGTTCCTGTTCCGTTCTTTGTGTCTCTTCCTTCCCTCCAGTCTCCTACGTTAGCTCCCCAAAGTAGTGTGCTCCCCCTTCATCCTCATCTCTTCCTCTTTCTCATCTCTTCCTCTTCTTCTTTTTCTTCCTAACCCCTTTTCAATTTTAACTCTTGAGGGAAAAACTGACATATTAAGGACTTATATACTGCATACAATTTTCTAGTTTTGTTTTCAATTTTGTTCTGTAACAACAAATCTAGTTCACACATTTGTGGCAAGTTAATTCTTACCTGTTTGTCATTTTCTGTTTCATGCTATTGTTATTCTGATGGCACCACTTTATCTAAAAGTGACATAATTATTCTAAACAGCTGTTCTTCCTGAGATTGTCTAATGGGCACAGAAAATATTTTGACAAAGTGCTAAAGAACAAGGGGCTGGTGCAAACAGGAAGCAACTTCCTATCCCAAACAAGAGGGTAATTTACACCAGTAAATACCCATAACAGAAAAACAGCAAGCGCAAATCAACTTCAA